GGCAAGTCCCATTGAGATCTGAGATCTCTTTTTTAAGGGCAGTCTGGGCCTGAAGGCAACCTATTGTACATGTTTTTGTGTTGTGGGGGAAACCGGAGTACTCGGAGAAAACCCACGCAAGCACGAGGAGAACATGCAAACTCCGCACAGAAAGACCCCAGGTCCAAACCGGGGATCGAACCCAGGACCTTCTTGCTGTGAGGCGTCGGTGCTAACCACTGAGCCGTCGTGCCGCCGTCGTGTCGTCCTGTCTTCATTACTCAAGACAGGAAGAGATAGTCGCACCAAATTTGAATTTTACTCTTACCATTACTTCATCTTTTAACTTTTCCTCAAGACAAGTCAATCTGACCACTCATGTTTTGCCAAACTTCAACCACACCAAGAACTCCACCAATTACATTAGGACAAACTCTGCCCACACACCAAGAAACTCCTCCTATGTACTGCAGAGAACCCTACTTGCCTACTTTGGCACACTTCCAAGCAAGCTGAGTCGAGCGAAAGGTTTGATGTCAGCAGGCTTCAGGTCATTGATTGGTTAGAGCAACATCAATCACAGGTGTGTCTCCTTCACACGAATCAAACTCACCACTTTCAAAACTTCACACATTTATGTGTTTGTGTTATTTACTTTTATTATGTAAAAAATTATAAAATGGCAACACATAAAACACTGTGGTACCAAATGGGGAGGTGCAGATGCTTCCATGCTTCTTGTTGTTGTTGGCAGAATTCAGTCGGAGCTAAACCAAATAGACTCAACTTGCAGGCTCCAACCGGGTAGAGCAGGGGTGTCAAACTCCAGTCCTCGAGGGCCGCTATCCTGCATGTTTTAGAGGTTTTCCAGCTCCAACACACCTGATTCAGTGATTGAATTAACTCTTCAAATTGGGCAGAAGCCTGTTAATCACCCAGCGATCAAAATCAGGTGTGTTGGAGCAAGAAAACCTCTAAAACATGCAGGATAGCGGCCCTCGAGGACAGGAGTTTGACACCCCTGGGGTAGAGGGAAGGCGACTTCAACAAATTTGGAAATTGGACCAGAGGATGATGAGTTATGTGACTTTATTTTACTATTGTGCTCATAGCTGTGTTGTGTTTGCTTTTGAGAGAAAATACGGTCTCAGACGTTTCGGGCAACCGAAGTATGACGGTACCGCCTCATCGAGGTGGTACTCGAGTTGTTTCAAAAACCATGTAGTCCAGAGGAGAGTCAAAGAGAGCGAGACTGAACAAAACACACATAAACACACACACACACAACCACAGTCACTCTGTGTGCCTTTAATATGATAAGAGGAGGGAAAGTGGAGCTTTAAATCTGTCCTGCGATTCTGCTACAGCAGGGAGAGCTGCTCTTACATAACTCTCAGTGTGTGTGTGTGTGTGCGTGTGTTTGCGCCGGTGTGACTGTGTGTGTTTGTGCGTTTGCACCGGTGTGCGTGTGTGTATTGTGGAGGCTCATGTTGCAGCTGCTTGTGTTCTCAGTGTCTGCAGAGTTTTTTAATCCCGGTATGCTGGTTGTGTTTCAGCAGCTTGTCACAGCTGAGCCTCGTCTTCTTCAAACCTCTCGTTAACTTGTGGCGTCCAAAACTGAGCAGTACTGATAAAAATAATATTTTGATGGTACGACTAATTAAGCAGGATTATTCTGATTATTAGAGATTTGAATATTTTTCTTATTTTATTTTACAGAAAATATATTTATAAAATGTCACACTCCTTGTGACAATATTTTTTTGAAAAACTACAAAATCTAAACAGCCGACAGTAGTTTTACAGTCTTTGTTTTAATTGAAACATGTTTTTAATGAGGGCAAGAGCAAACTTGAACTTTTTAATTGCAAAATACAAAACTTTTTATTTCGTCTCGGGTTAATTTGTTACTGAATCAAAACTATCCACATTTATCTTCCGGGTCTGGCCACTCCTCAGGGTCATGATGTCACATGACTTGACCAGACCCATATACAACAGGCTATCATCTAATGAGAAAATAATTGTGTTGGTTTGTTGTCTGGTGATAGGCGTGTTAACTAATCTGTCTGTTTTTAAGTACACTCTGTTCGAGTGACAGGATGGTTCTGGACAGAGAACACATCCATTAATCAAAGTTTAATCATGGCACATGAAGATATGTAATTATGTATTTAGATTATCAAACGTGGTCTAGATCTCTCAGTGAAAACAAGAATGTGTAGCGCATGCATTTAAGAAGAAACCTTTTCAGTTTGACAGTTTAGGTCAGTTTTTTTAATCAAACAATGTCTCATGTTAGAACCAGTCAGGGTTCCCTTTTAAGGAACTTTTTAAAGTGAAAAATAAATGTGTTTGCAGCTTGAAAATGAAAAATTAAACAAAAAATGAAATTAGGAAAAGAGAATAGATTTTGATTTCTTACTGGAACACTGACCCTCTCCTGTCTCCACCTTTGTGTTTCTCAGATACATGTTGGGTAAAGGTGCGAAGCGGAAGCTGGACGAGGATGAAGAGGGTCTGGAAGGCAAAACGCTGGAGGCGCCCGCTGCGGGAGGCGCTGGTCCGGAGGGCCTTTCTAAGGTGTCCTACACCCTGCAGAGACAGACCATCTTCAACATCTCCCTGATGAAGCTGTACAGCCAGCGTCCGCTCAGCGAGCTGCGCCTGGAGCGCCGCGTGCTCATCAACAACATGCTGCGGCGCATCCAGGACGAGCTCAAGCAGGAGGGCTCCCTGCGGCCGCTGCTGCTGCCGCCCTCGCCGCCGCCGGACGACCCCATGGACGAGGGCTTCCGGGAGGCGCCGCCGTCGTTCGGCGTGCTGTCGGCGGGCGAGCCGCAGCCGTCCTCCCTGCTGATGCAGGGAATCCCCCCGCCGCCTTCGCCCCACCCGGTGGTGCCTCCCGGCTGCCAGGCGTCCCATCGGCTGGAGGCCTGCCTCACTCCGGCCTCGCTCCTGGAAGAGGATGGCTCCCCCTCCCCACCCACGCCCCCCATGTCACCTTCCCCGGGGAGCCACGTGTGCCCCGGTGTCCCTGTGCCTGGCGGCCCCGCCCTCAATCTCAGAGACATGGAGTTGGGTGTTTCCATGGACAGAGCAAGGACAGCAGCAGCTAATTCTACGACCACAACTACCTCCCCGGCCCCCACCCAGCCCCCTCCATCGGTGCCCCGCCCCTCTGGCTCATTCAGAGACTGCAGGACTGTGGCCGCTAAAACAGAGGCAGCCGCTGCGTTCGTGGTGGAGAGTCGGAGTGCTGACCTCCGGCAGACGGACCCTCCCCCCCCACACAGCCCCGCGAGCCTCGAAGACATTTGTCCCGCCGCTCTGTCCCCTCCTTCCTCTTCCTCGCCCTCGGGCTTCCTGTCGGACCTGGCGCTGGACGATGTCCTGTTCGCCGACATCGACACATCCATGTACGACTTCGACCCCTGCACGACGGGGGGGTCCGTCGGCGTCACGGCGGGCGGCGGCCTCACGAAGTTGCCACCAGTGATGAACGCAGACGACCTGCTCAAGTCACTGGCGTCGCCGTACGGAGGCTCCGCCCCCCAAGTTTCAGTCAGTCAGCCTTTTAAAATAGATCTGACAGAGTTGGACCACATCATGGAGGTGTTGGTGGGCTCATGACTCGAGGAAAGACTTTTTATTCCAGACTGGAAGTAAAACGTGGGATTGACTTTCTGGCTTCCTGTTTTTATATTTGGTTCTTTTCTTTATCTTTTTTTCTTTTAAAGCTTCCTGCACAGGTCTGTAATTGTAAACATCTAACTGATGTCAACTAGAACTACTATGGAAACACAACACTGTGTGCACTGCACTTGCCTTTCCACACATACACCAGAAGACACACGATGGACACGTAGCAGATACGCAGCAGACACACAAACATACCTGTAAAAAGCTTCTTCCTGAAACCTAAACTTTGATCTGTTTGACCTTTGGCCTGAACTAAAGCTCTGTTTGAGGTGGAACAGTAAACCATGCATCACAGTAGTGACAAACACACTTCACAGATACACACTCACACACACAGTAATGATGACTTTAAGCAGCTGAGTGCCTTCTCAATGACCACTTATATAATTCCTGTTTTTACAGTATTTTTAAATTTTTCTCCCTCTTTAACAGCCTGCAGAGGTCACTCCTCCCTTCTTTTACTTTATCAGTTCAGTTGTTTAATGTGATTATTTGACATAATCCAGTGATATGAATTGAATCATCTGTTTTCATTATAAGGCAGGTATGAGAAGAAGAACCTTGTTGTACCACTATCACTATGTTATTTGAACTCTACAGATGTTCATCTTCCAAATCACTTCAGGGCTTTGTCCCGTCACAAAAATGCTGTCCTGGTTCCTGTTTTACGTGATTCTGGTCCTACTAGACTTTTATCAGAATCCAGCTGCAATGGGATTCAAATAAGCTCCGCCCACTATGTTTTTAAATGTGTTTACACATGAAGGAGAAGAAACTCCGTCATAAGCTGGAAGGATATCTGATCTGAAAAACTAGTTTGGTAAATGTATTACTTCAGTAAAGAGTGTGTTTAGTTGTTGGTTTTACACATTTGGTAAAATACAGCGGAGTGTTCCTGCTGGCCTCTCTCCTCCAGTTTCTATCTGAATAATGTTTGTTTTAAACCCCACAAAGGAACAGAAGGCCTGAGTCTGAATCATTTGAATACAGAGTTCCACTGAAACGGCGAAACCAAAACCACAGTGTTAACCTGATGCTGCGACCCTGCTGTTCGAAACAACACAACAACAGTTCTGGCACCAAAACAAACAAACAAAAACCACAAACTGTAATTGTCAAATTACGTTTTCAGTACAGCAAGCTACAGTCATTTCATTTTCTAATGTGTAATTTTGCATATTTTCTCCAGTTTTTAACTATTTACATGCAACGGTACAATATGGTCCAGATCGATCAAAATATCAGTTCATTTCCTGTTTACTTCAACAATATGGGGTTCCAACATATGCTTTCATCATGTTATGACCCGATTAGTAAAACATGGTTTAAAAACTTTGAAAGAAATGAAGCCAGCATGAGCTGTCCAGTTTCTGCTCAAATGGGACACATTTTGTTATTTTTTAATGAAAAACACAGGTATTGGTACTTGTCATGTATTAATGGTTCTATCCAATCAATGCTGCACAGTGTTTTTGTCACAATGTAGCTTTGGCTCATTGAGTACCTTGATTGTATTAATACAAAATAAGTCTCAGTATCCGTTTGGTGGTGATACCCCACAGCAGTTATGGTCCAAAGGGTGGAAACATCATCAAAAAGCAAAAACTTCAGAAAAGAGGGTTTATTGTTTGTTTTGTTTTAAAACCATGAAGTGAGTGGTGAAAGAAGCCCAAAGTTCTGCGGCGATGGTTTCATGCTGTTTAGAGTGGTGTTAAAGGGTCCGATGTAAATGTCTCTGTGTGGACTAGCCCTTCAGAGACAACAGGCACATCCTTCAGTGTTCAACTTTAACAGTAAATTTAAAGTTATGGCGAGTCAAGCACCGGGCAGCCCCGTCTAACCCTCTTTGCAGACGACTCGCTTGTTTGTGTCACTATGTTTGACATTTGGAGTGTGTTTGATTTCTATTCAGGTTATTTATTCATATTGGTTGTTTTTTTTTCTGTGTAAATATATTTATTTTTGAAGTGAACATATGGATTGTAAATGTGTGTACAGAATGTATTTTATTCAAGAATGTATCCGAGAGTGAAATATTGGGTGAAAGCCATTTTTTTTTACAAACATATCTACTTACCTATCTGGTTTATGTGTTTATTTGTTTTGTTATAGAGTTAAGTTTTTTGTTTTGTTTTGTTTTGTTTTTTCCTTGGGTGACAGCCATGACTTTTTATACCTTTTGTACATTTTTTTGGTCATTTTTCCAGTTGAAAGCAAACAGTTCATACAGCAAAGAAAAAATAGTCCTGTCTCCAACCTGCAGATGTCAAGACTCCAAAGCCTGTCATTGATGCTTCAATGCCAAAAGCAACGAACAGAAAAAAATAATTCAGAAACTTTTCAATCAGTGTTTGTCACCAAATGGTTTTTAGCGCTGTCTGAGCATGTGGTGGTGAAGAATATGGACTAAACGCCATCCAAGCTCTTTCCTTTAATGAAGGTTCAGAACTGTGCCTTTTTCTATGCAATACAACACAAATGCACACAGAGACGAATTATGTGCTGATTGCTCTATTGGACCTGTACATACTACAGAAATGGATGGATATATATATATATATATATAT